TGGTTCTTCCTCTAGTCTCGGACTGTCTCTATGTGCATTTGAGATGCCTTTTTTTCTTCTTTCTAAGGACCCACCAATCAATCTTAGGGAACTCTATGTTGTTTATCTCTGCCAATTCTTCGACGTACCAAAGCCATCTTTAAATGCAGACATTATAAACAAACTTCCTATTTCCTCATCCAGATCGCTGTCATCTATGCTAACCTGGGCCCTAGAGCAGCAATTAAGAAAAATTCTTAGGTATTTTAGCAAGAACAAATTCCGTAAGTGGCCTGTGTGTGATATGACTGCTAGGAGACAGGAGTGATCTTGGGTCCCACTAACGCAGGCATGCTATCTAGAACAAAGGCAAAGCTGATGCGGTCCTACTCCGCTGGCCACAACAGATGTGTCCCCATGTTCAAAGTCTGGGCTGTAACACGAGCATTGATGTAGGATTGAGTTTGGAGGGTACTACCCGGGTGACGAGGAAAGATAACACTACAACACAAATTTTCACGAAAGAAGTGAGACGATCGGGGGAACACACAATTTTTAAAATATTGGAACGACTGCCGTAAGGACAAGAAATAACAACTGTACGCAACAACTACCACGATGGCTCACGTTCATTAAACACTTGCTGTGTGCAAGAAGGTCACACATTGCAAGTGTGTTTATATTTGTTCCCCAAAACAACCCTATGGAGTAAGTGCTAGGATGTTACCCATTTTACTGATGGGTAAACTGAAGCATAAAGGAGCAAAGAACTAGCCCCAGGTCACACAGCTAATCCGTTTCAGAGCTGGGCTCCACACCTAGGCGATTCGATTCACTCAAAGGTGTGCAGGCTTCACGACTATGCATCAGGCGCACCTTTTTTATGGCCAAAAAAGTAGGACTCGGACTAAGAGATCAGAGATGGATTTTCAGTTCCATATAAGGAAGAATTTTCTTACAGTCAGAACTCAGCAAATATGCAACTCGATGCCCCAGGATGGGATGAGCTCCTGATCCCAGATCTTCAAGCACAGATCAAAATTCTCCACCAATTATTGGACAAGACGAATGGCGTGGTTCGAGTATCAGACAGAGGGCTGGACTCAAGTATCTTTAAGGTTTTTTCAACCTTAAAAGAAGAAGGTGGGGAAGCCATGACTCCATGACTAACTCCTAAGGAACGTCTTCAGCATCTCACACCCACAGCTATGAGTAAATCCTTCAGGGCCCTTCAGCTCTCCGTAAAACCACGGAGACTCGAGTGTTTGGGACCCATTTTAGATTATTCATCCCCGGCTCAGGTCGTGAGTCAGCATAGACCGTAGCGCTCTTACACAAAGCCATTCCTAGGTTCGTCTCCTGAAGCTTCTTCCCCAGGTCTTGTTGGATAATAGCAAAATCTTTAATAAATATTTTAGAAAAACAGTGCATACTTACACACACACAAATTACCACCCAACATCCCTATGCTTCAGGATATTTTTGTAATTCCTGGTTCTCCATCCTGTCTAATTAACTCTATGGCACTGTGGTTCTTGGCTGCCTCAACACACCGGTGCCACCAGGCCCCGGCACATGCCGTTCCCCTCATTGTGAACACTCCCCACTTCATCTGGCTGACTCCAACTCCACGTTTCAGACCTTGGCTTAGGCAGCAATCCTTCTTGGGAGGCCGTGCTGACATTCTCCCTTCCCTCTACCCACACTCGTGGCTGTGAGATTCTCAGAGCGAGAGTAGCGTATTGTACTACGATGGCTTTCTCACCTGCCTCCTGCATGCAACCCGCAGCGCCTCCCAGGGGCACAGACTGCTCAACGCTGCGTCTCTAGTTCCTGGAAACGCACCTGTTCTGCTACAGATGTCCTAGCAAATGAAAGTTTTCCCTCTTGTGTGTATATATTGTATAGATGGATTTTACCTTGGAACCAACCTGTGTGGGATAATTAGCTGTTATTTCCAAAGCCAAGAGACAGACGGCAGCAAAGTAAGCCCAGAAGAGTCAAGTGTTGATAAGGCAGTGGGAAGAGGATGATAGGAAGAGAAAGGTCTTCAAAACAGGCGGTTCCAAGAGCACCACTGGGGATAAACGGGAGTCAAAAGCAAACCCTGCGTCCTTCACTGTCCTGTCTCGGGTTGGCTGTGATCAGAGGTGACATTCCCAGGCCATTATTTATGAAGCTCAGAGCTCTGATGGGTTACTAGCAGTCAGGGGATGTATCTGATCTTTAACGTCAGTGACAGGACAGTCAACCGCAGAGCTGAGCTACGTAACCCGGCACTTCACAGCCAGCGACCACTGGGTCTATTTGCCTGGTGGAGCCAGGTCTGTATTCCTGTGCGCTTTAAGGAGCTCTTCTTATTCCAGTGTTTTTAAGTCTTATTTTATATTTTATATTCCTGATCATTTCTTTAAATAAAAATTTTTTTTAAGTTTTTAAGATCCCTGCCTTTATGATATATCCTATTGTGAAATTTTCTCCTTCATTATGCACTTGTTCATTCACAGAGCGTTGGCTCGTGGCAGGTAATGACATTTTACTCTCACCCTTTGCTGATAAAATCTTCTCTTCCTTTTAATGAATGTCTTAGTTTCTCTCCCTTTCCACATTAGATTTTCTGGTCCCACTTCTCAAAAACTTCAGGAGCCTCTTTCTTTGCATTCCTTATAATTTTCCTGAATTTCTTTCTGTACTTTCCCAGTGTAGCTCTGTAGCCCATCTCTTATCAGTCAGGGGAATGGCCAAATATACTTAAATCTCTGCATATTAATGAGTAACAACCATTTGTTTATTCCGAAATTTTTCATTTAAGATACTCATTGTAACAAATATGTAAAAAATGAGAGAAATACATAATTATGTTTCTCATTACAGACATATATATTACTTTGACCCAAAGTTCTCTACCTATCCTTTAGCTAAACAAACCAAGTATTGCTCCTAATTCAAATTATTACTTCCCATTTATAAAAAAAAGTAATATTCTGAAGGTAAAGTACTTTAGCAGACTCTTAAATACAGGTTGGTATATCCAGACCAAAACAAGTCACACCACAATGCAAAAGGTAATCTTGTTCCATATTGAACTCAACTGGCTTCTAACAAAACAATTCACTACATAGCTGACCTAAATTACTGTGTTGTTTTTAATTAAATGAGTGTGGTATGCAGAAACAAAGCAAAACAAAATAATCAAGTACTTTGTCCGGACTCTTCACTCATTTAGAACTGCATCCCCTCAACACTAGCCATTTTGCCATTCAGATACACCAAAGAAAAGGGAGTCACTTTCATCCATAAACATGTTTTGCAAGTTACCACCTACTCCTTCGCAAATTGTTCTTTTTAAAAAAATTAGATTACCTTTAGCCAGCACCCACATTCACCTCTGACATACTAAAAGCCTGACAGAATCCCAGGCACACCTAAACACATCACCTGATCTACTACTGTGGCAACAAAGTGTTGCCACATTATTTTGAATTACTTGCATACTTGGGATAACTAAGCAAACGTATCATTTGTCATTCATACTTTGCCAATTAAAGAGAGTGAATCTGTGGATAGCTATTCACTGCCTACAAACTACATTTTTGCAAGAAGTTACAGTAGTCAGCATACATTTCAAGTATACATATAGTAGCCAGTATGACATTTCAAGTTGCAACAAGGAGCAAATAATTCAGCCTTCAAGAATATTAGTTAGAGACAAAGTGTTTATTCCCCTCTCAGACACCGCATTCTCATTAAGCCTTTCTCTTCTGCACAACTGATGAGACTTTAAGTGAACTGTTAAAATAGGATATATTTCTCTTCATTACCTATTTGTAGACTACTACTAAAATATAGTCAAGACTCTTTAAATGGGACTCTTAATGAAGACCTTTTTTTGTATCTTTAACATGGAGGTGATTCTTAGTGATAATTACGTTTCTAAAAATCATACCTGGCAGCCAGTCTAAGCCAAGTTCAAGTGCCACTCTGCATTAAACGAAGCTGAGTTAGTAAAGCTGTGCACACAGCACTCAACTGAGCAGAAGAAAACATACCATATTTAATAAAATGCCAGATTCTTGTGGTCGGTGTCCATAAAAATGCTTAGCAGTGTTGGATATGTGGTTTGCAAAAGCAAGCAAATCCTCCACAGTTCCGTATCTGACCGATGACAACCAAGGCACCTCTTGGCCACTAAGCAGCAGAGACTCGGAACGCTCCTCGTTTTGATTGCTGTCTTGACACATGGTCATCAGACCAGGTTCGTACACTGCCGGCTCTTCATTTACATAAAGATTTTCCATAATGTCTATCACCTCAGACATGTTTAAATGTTTAATTAATAAATCGATTTCTTCTTTATTGTCACTTCCAGTGCTCATGTACTCCATCACTGTTGCACTTTCTGTGGAGTCTACGAAAGAAAATACAAATAGTTTAGGATGTTTGTACTGTGTTCAAGACATGCAAGGATTCGGACCAGCCTTCTCTATGCCTTTGGGCAGAAAATGAGGGCCCTGTGCCAACTGTGTGTGTGAATTCAAGGTGACAGTGCAGAGTCGAAAGGGACCTGAGATAACCTTTCGTCCAGCTCACTTTGCAGAGGGGAAACCTGAGACCAGAGGGCTTACTCTAACTCAGAGTCAGTGGCACCAGCTACAGCCACTGAAAACAAACTTTCACTCAACATAAACACAAGAAAGAACAGCTCAGGAATCTGTGAAGAGCTCAGGCTGCTGGCTCTTAACAGCTCTCAACCTTGCACAACCCGCCTGTTCTCTGCAAGAAGCACTATGGCTTTTTTTTTTTTTTTTTTTTTTGCCTCCAGTGACTTTAAAGAAAAAGAGCTACTTTACTAAATTCAGGAGCTAACCTGGCAAATAAAATTCAGGCCCTGAAAGCCAGAAAGCACGTAAAATGGATTTCAACCTAAGCCAACTTGATGATGATAGGTCAAGTTTCAGGAATAATTGTGATGCAGATGAGTTAAACAGCTCATTGGGAGGGAGCCCCAACTCCTAGCTCTGCCAGTGATAAGTATGATTTAACCTATGATTCGGCTGTCCCCTCCTGAGACCAGAATTCTTTACCAGTTCAAAGCGAATACCTTGAGGGTCCAGAAGATTACCTTAAAATCTAGGCAAATGACCCTCCCAAGGCTGTGGGTAGTAGGAAGAGACCAGGAGAGCCGAACCTACACTAAGCAAGATGCGGCTACTACGAACAACTGACTACATTAGCAAAAATTGCACTTCGGTTCTTATGTGCAAATCAGCTGCCACACTTGGGGATCTGTAAATGAGAAAAACAAAGTAACACCAGGGTCAAAAGTGCTGCTGCTGTCACTCAGGCCTTTAGAACAACTGTATTCCACAGCAGAAAAGATAAAAGAATCTAAGAGAATTTTGAAACACCTGGGTCTACTTAAACCATTGTGCTCCTGAAAGCACAGCCTCTCTCTAAAAAGATAACTTAGGTTCTTAAAATCACAAGTCTTTAACACGCACAACACTCAGTGCTAAAGCCACATACCTCTGGTCAACTTGGAGCTTCAGCTCAAAGCTCCAGGAAATGTCCCACCTGCATGCATGACCCAGCCACCTGTCTCCGAGTAAATTTCATTTGACAAATGAACCACACAATTCAGTGCCATCTCTACCTTGCTTGACGGTCATTTGCTGATGCACAAATTGCGTCTGAGCAAAACAGTCTAGCATCGTGCAAGTTCAACATTCCTCTAGTCTCAGGCTGCTTGGGGTCAAATCTCAGCCCCCTCATTTACTGGCTGCATGACACTGAGCAAGTACCTTAACCTCTCTATACCTCAATTTCTTCCATCTCTAAAATGGAGGTGGTTTTGAGGTGGTTGTGAGGATTAAATGAGTTCAAGTGCACACGGTGCTTGGCAGTGTCTGGTGCACAGTGAGTAAGCTATGTCATTTGCAGCTGGTTTATGTGCCTGAGAGAGAGAAGTACTGAGTCAGATTCCTGGTTTTGCATATTCTTCATTAGTCTCCTTTCTTATCTGCAAATGGGATGTGGCTACCTATTTCCCACCCCCTTCTACACAGCAAGATTTTAAAGATTGTATCTAAAACAAGATGCAAAGGGAAAAAAAGGCAGAAATCTATGAAATGCTTTGAGGACTGTTATCACCGCAGTTAGATCTAGAGTGGGAGTGGCAGCTCCCTCTCAGAGATCTCACCCATCTTTGAAGGACATTTTGATTCAGGTTCTTGGAGTCTGCTGAGATAGAAAAGGAACTTATTAGGTTCGTGGAGGAACATTTGACTTGAGTTTCACTGAGTTTAGTTGCAGTTTCTGCTTGTAGAATTTACTGGGAAAACAGAAGTTAAAACAAAAACAGCCTAATTTGGGGCCCCAGTGGCTGAAAAGATCCAAGTTACTTATCAAATGATGACTTCATGGAAAATAAAGGTCCCAGTACTAACATGACTCAAGAAAGAGAGGAAAATAGTTCATGCAGTCCAAATTCACACAGCTGATTCTGAGAGGAAAGACAAGTTTTGGTTTTTAAATTCTGCAGAAAGTCTCAAGCATTTCTATGTAAAAACCTAAGAGCTTCACACACAGACACACACACACACACACACACACACACACACACACACAAGCACACACACACCCTCACCCCTAAACTGCAGTTGGATGGAAAGTGGGGAGGGAGGAAAGAATGATAGGGAGGTGGAGGAGTGTTTGACACTGACACTTTTGGGGGCCTGCATTAATTCCTTAGCAACACAGGGCTGCTGTCATGCAAATCTCTTCTCCCCAGCACCCTTGCTGACCAATCTGCCTGCTACATGCTCCTGCACAAAACCTCAGCACTTTCCGGCCTTAATGAAGCAGACAACATGCTAATGGTTCCGGACTTATTCATGATCAGTCCCCACCTAGAGTAAGTGTGGCTTCTGAAGGTATTCGAGTTTAGCAACAAAGACTTTTATAAGTTGATTTCCCCCCACACACAATTCACAATAAAAAGCCTCATAAAATTCTTTCTTCCTAACAGAATAGAAAATTACACCAATTTTAGAAACGAAGAGATGTGCAAATACAATCAAAATGGTTTACCTCAAATTATTTCAGAAATCAGTAATAAAATCACAAGGAAATCCTATTCCTAAACATCAGCTTAATAATCTTGGCTACTCCCATGTACATAAACAAAATTTCAGTGCTTCCTGGCAAGTGTGTGAAAGTGGCCAATATTACAGGCACCAGCGTCTGCCTAACAAAGAATGATTATACTTGAGTTATTTCCCATTTAAAAGATTTTTCTGCCAAAATAGTACATTGCCCCTCGGGGCACAACTCTAATATATTTTTGTTCTCAGAAAGCCCAAGAGTGACGCATTGCAGCTACACAAAAGAATTGCCACTCTGCTCCAAAACCTCTAGGTGCTTGGACTATCCAATTTTCCTTCAAGACCAAGTCCCTGAGAGCCATCTTCCGCGACGCGATGCACAGAAACCTCAGTGCATCCGGGAGAGTCGGCAGCGTCAGCTGGATTGGATTCTACTCCACTTGGCAAATTCTACTCAGGTGTGAAAAGCAACTACATGAGCGTTTTTTTCCCGGTTTTATCAACAGCAGCCTTTTATGCTGGACCAAAATATGCCCTCCCCAAAGTGAAACAGACAACCACTGCAACGTGTCACTTAAAGACAGCCAGTGGCCTTCCCCTGTTAACTTCAGGGACAATTCCTGGGCGTGCTGTGTTTCTTTCTAATCTCCGTTCTCCGCCCAGAGTCCTGACGTCGCATTATCACTGGAAAACAACTTCTGTGAAACAACCTGTCTTCTCCTAGCACTCCTTCTTGGACCAAAAGCCCACTATTCGTGTTCTGCTATGACTACCCTTTAGTCACAGAACAGAGTCCGGGTTATAAACATGAAATTAACTTTCCACCATCCAAAAGGCTCCCTGCTCCGTCAATCCACACCCCTACTCGCTTCCTCCGGCCCTCAAAGCCAGGGAGCCTTAAATGCTCGTAAATCATAAAAGCACCTATCACTTGGGCGGGTCTCCAGCCTCCAAGCCGCACTCACCGGTCCCGGCAGGGCGAGCGCACCGTCCCGGCGGCGTCTGCGGCGGGAGCGAGGTGACAGCGGGTCCCTGCCTCCCGGCGCGCTGCCCAGACCGACGCTGCCCGGGCGCTGGGGATCCGGGAAGGAGGAGGAAGAGGGAGGAGTCTGCACCCCGTGAGACCCTTGCGCAAGGTGCTTTCCAGCTGTGCCTGGCTGCAGCCAGCTACCCGCGCGACGGACACAGGCGCAGCACCGGATCCGGGCACGCCCCCACCTCCCCTCGCCCGGACTCACCCCTCTGCCTGGGTCACCCTCCAGTTCTGGGTGGGAACCCCCAGGGCACCCGTGTGGCGCGCGATCCGAAAGACACCCCGAGCCCCCAAATTCTGAGTTACCTGCGGCCTCCACGCCGCCCCACAGGCCGAGCGCTCCAGCCGCGGTCCCCCGACGACTCGGAGCGCAGCTGCGGGCTGGCCCTCGGGAGCGGGGCACGGCGGGCCACCGGGGTCCGGCGGCGGCAGGAGCGGGAGCCAGGGCGACAGGCCCCAGAGCGTGGCGCGTGGTCCGGAGCCGAGCGGACGAGTGAGCCCCGGGCCGCCCGCGCGCCCAGACCGCCCCGGTCGGCCCCTGACTCACGGCGTCTGAGCCGGCCCAGGGGCGGCGCAGCGGAGGCCAGCCGCCGCCTCCCCGCCTTTTCCATTTCCCCTTTCTCTCCGTAAACAGAACGAGACTGCCCGATAGCGGCGCGAGCCGAGCCCCCGCGCCGGGAAATTCCGTGCCCCCCCGCCCTCGGGGCGCCCGGGCGGGGCCGAAGGCGGTGCCTGGGCGGAGCCGAGCGTGGCGCGGGAGGGCGCTCCCCCGTCTGCGGGGGCGGCGGGTGGCCCGGGGTGCGGGACAGCGGCCGCGGTCTCAGGCGAGGGCCGGGGACTCAGAGTTTTCCCGGACCTGGTGACTGCGCGCGCTAATGGCGGGGTTGGAAAAGGCGGCCGTGGCCGTGCCCTTGCCCGGTGCCGCGGGAAGACCGTACACCGTACTGGCTCGTGCCCTCGGCCCTACTCTGCTGTCCCAGGCTTTGGCGGACGGGGCAAGCTCCCGAGAGGCTGCTAGACCTTTGTCCTTGCGTCCCACTCCCAGGGGGACAGAGGCGCCGCGCGCTCTCCCCGCTGAGCTACGGGAAGCACTGGCAGCCCCTGTTCTCGGAACCGCGTCCATCCTCCGAGGGCGGGTAGCGCGGCCCCGCCCCGCCCAGATTTCGGTCCAGGTCCTCACACCACGAGGGCGGTGACCCGTGGGCCGCAGCACCCGCTCGCGTGGAAAGGTTTGGGAGAGGCTGCCGCCAGGTGCGCCCGGAACCTGGGGGGTGAGCACCGGAGGGGACCCGTGCGCTCTGCCAGCCGAACCTGGTTATTCTGTGGCACCGCCTCAGTACGAAGTGTACCTGTCCCGATCTCCTCCCCGCTAACCCTCAGCCCCAGCCGCTTATCTGGGGTTTTCCTTCTCAGGTGGAAAGCGCTCGCTCCAGGTGAAACCGGAAGAGATTCTAGGGACAAGCGCCTCTCTCCACGAAATCCGCTCTGCGGGGCATTCCCAGTGCCTGTGTAGTTGCGGCTCACGCGCCTCCCTGCCCCTATTTCTCAAGTAGCAAGCCCTCCTATGAGCCCGGCATCTTGCAGGACAGCCCGGAGCACGAGCGCTAACGTCGGGTGGACATCCCCACCGTGCCACCGCCGGGGACGCTGGGCGTCGGGGCAGAGCCCGGATTCGAGCTCCGTCTGACTCGAGTGCACGCCTTGCTCTCTCGTGTGCGCAGGCCCATTCCTTCTCCTGCGCAGTTTAGAGAGCTCCGCGTTTTTTCTGCGGAAAGTGAGTTGCTATTCCGACCTAGAGAAGTCCTAAGACAATTGCCGGCGGGCCTAGGCTGGCTGAGGTGACAAGTGAGGCCCTCCCTGTAGGCCTGAGCTTGCTTAGTCCAGCTAGCAAGGGCCAATCGACTGCCTCGGCACAGTCTCCCCCTACAGTATGTTAATACGCGAGCTAGGTGAGTGCCAGGCTTGAATGGGGCGGGACGTTTGCCACCCCTTTAAATCTCCGGGAGGTCCCACGCGCCTCCCCGCGGAGGCCCGGCCTGTGCGGCCGGGGAGGGAACGCGGCTGCCACCAGCCCTGCAGCGCGGACTCCTGCGCGCGGGCGGGAGAAGCCCGGCGGGCCCCACGCGGCGCGGCGGAATTGGGCTCAGGCGAAAGCGGATTATCCCAGGCCCAGCTGAAACCCAAGTACTTCAAAGTGCCCCTTCGGCCTTTTCGCGGGAAACCGGCTTAGCGCAGGCTGTTACCTCCAACTGTAACGTGAGACGCCTCTCCCACGTTTGCCGTGTTTAGGCAACAAAGGATGATCTTTATAAGCATTTTAAAAATAGAACTATGAAACCACTCCCCTCCCGACCCGCCCTCAATGAGCTCATTATAAACCACACCTAATCTTCTGGGAACTAAATATCAGCCTTACTTCCTACACAGAGGTCTCCCGAATATGGCCGCATTTTCAGGGAGCTGGTGCAATCGCTGAGCCAGCAGGGCTCCCTGCCGCTGCTCCTGACTTGGGCAACTGCGGATTCCTTTCGTCGGGGTGAATTAGGAGGTTTTACTTAAAAACATTTTTAAAGTCTAACAAAGATGGAATCTTGGGCAGGGTGGCTCATGCCTGTAATCCTAGCACTCTGGGAGGCCGAGGGGGGAGGATCACTTGAGCCCAAGAGTTTGAGGCTGCTGTGACCTAGGATGGGAAAAAACTGAATGTGGCGTCCCCGAAGAGACCTAAAGGGAGAAAGCAACTGGAAAGAAAACGTTCATGGGCTCCTTGCATTTTCCGGGTCAGGTCTCTCTTACGCAGGCTTACAAATACAATCCTGCCCTTTTAGCAGCCTGCTAGCAACGTGAGCTTTAAACCTGCCAGTGAGAGGCCACCTGGGCGGGAGTGTGCACAACCACAGCGGGGTTATTCTAGAAGTCACTCTACAGTACTAAACAACTCCAACAAAATGCACTTGCAAATGGACTTGCACCAGGTTTCAGTTTACCTGAAGAGGCTCTCTGCACTCACAGTTTGGGACAATATGGGTTTGTCATCTGTAGTTTGAAAATCCGAATTTTTTACTTACAGAAACAAAACTATTAACATTGGGTCGGTTACCCAGTTGGCCCAGTAATATGTGTAACCAGAAATGGGGTTCTATACTAATCACCATAATATAGAGCACTGTTTTCTAGTCTTAACATATTCATAAAATATGGAACTTTATGAATAAAATAAACTGGAATAACTTAGGAGCTGCAATATATTGGTGGAAATATGTTTCCTTTTAAAATTATAATAATAAAATACAAAGTGTGGAAGTAAGATAATTAAATACTGAATGTGAATAAAGCTTTAGATATTTTTAAATTTAAGAGGAACTTGAGCCTGACTTCATGAGCATAACTTTTTTCTATATTGTTTTATGTTGAAATAGCTATATATATATTTGCTAATTAAGATGTTTGAGCAATGATCTCTTCACACTTGAAAAAAATTTTTTTTTAGAGACGGGGTCTTGCTCTGTCACCCAGGCCGGAGTGCAGTGGTGCCATTATAGTTCACTGTAGCCTCGAACTCCTGGGCTCGAGCGATCCTTCTGCCTCAGCCTCCCGAGTAACCACACTTCTGATAATAACCTTCAGACGAGAAACGGAACAGATATGTAGGTAATAAATGTAAAACTTATTGTAACGTTAAATGTTAAACAGTTGAAGCCAGATTTTAAAAATCCAGTAGCTTTTTTTCTTTCATTGACACTTATAAGTTTCTTATGAGTGGATTTCAAATATAATTGAACTTTTTCATTTTAAGGGTTTCAAAATGACAAGCTTTGATATGCAGCAAACGCATGCATCCTTGGAGCAGTTAGCTTGGGTACCATTAAAAAGGCAAAGCTGCCCAAAGGATGAAGTATCCAGTGGAGGTGGAGATTCAGGGTGGGCTTCCCCACTGCGGAACTGGCATCTCCACCTCCTGCGCCAACCCTGCCACTGACTGCTCCTCCAGCTTTGCCTATGCTCCTCCAGTCCTGGATGCCCTGACCATGACCAGCAGCAGTCATGGGCATTCTGCCGTTGCTGGAGGACCTGCTCAGCCTCACTCAGCACCTTAGGGTGGGTCAGGGATGTCCATCAGAACTGTAGGGACCCCAAGGTGCATCATTAGATTCTACTCTGCCCCAGAAGCCCTCTAAGACAGGGGTCCCCAACCTATAGTGAGTTGTATAATTATTCCATTATCTATTACAATGTAATAATAAAAATAAAGTACACAATAAATGTAATGTGCTTGAATTATCCCGAAACCATCCCCCCTACCACCCCGGGTCCATGGAAAAATTGTCTTCCATGAAAATGGTCCCTGGTACCAAAAAGGTTGGGGACTGCTGCCTAAGACATCTCAGATGAGACTGCAAGGCTAACAGGTCCTGGAGCCTCAGGCCCTACCTGCCTGCCTTAAGAAATGAAAGGGTGAGTATCTGTCATGCATTCATGGCACATCAATGTGCCAGGCTGTGCCCTGAGCTCCTAGAGCCCTCGCTAGGACTTAGGGGGAGGAGTGCAGAGAGGTTGACAGGGACAGTCTTCTCTGTCCTCCTTCCTTTTGTCTTCTCCTCCCCTTTGGGGACGTTTCTGTACTCACCAACTTTTGCCATCACTGTGCAAAGTGGGAACAGCAACCAAACAAGGAAATGGGGCCCCAGGCAGAGATGAAGTCCTCACGTGGGGGAAGAAGAGAGAAGTCCCCAGTAGCCTTGGGAAAGGAAGGGGAGTTCCTAAATTCACTCAGCTCCGGCTGTTTATATTGAAGACTAAATTGGGCCAGTGTGTGAATTGAGACCATCAGTTCTCAGGTGCAGAAAACTAACATTTAGGTCACTAAAAGTGCCTAAGTTGCACTGTTCTGTATGGTAAGTGTTAAGAATTTTATACTTACTGCTGTGCCTTCCCCAAATCTGAGGTTCATGAACCACACTTTGAAAACAGAAACCACTGCTCTGTGCTTCTCTGTTCCACCTCCCAAATGGAAACTCCTTGTGCAGTGTTTCTTAATCGTGACCTTCCAAAATGACCACACAGCTCAGGACCTCTCCCAGGAACTGTGCAAGGCTCTGTCCTCAGGTCTGTGCAGTAGCTTTCATCTGTCACACTTTCAGAAGAGGAAAAAGGCTCAGCAACGCTGCTCCCTGCAACCCCCTATTCCCCCAAACTGCCTGGGGCCAAAGGCTGCTACAGAGTAGCCACAGTTGGATTTGCGGAGATTGCCCATGTATAATCTTACATGCCTCCTGCCGCTCCTTTATGTATTAACCTCATTTTCCCTTCTTCCCCTAATTTGATGCAGTGCTAGAAAATGCTGCCTAGGAAGGATATTGCCTGTGATGGGAAGGAACTGTTGTCAACATATTGTTTGGGCGGGAGGAGGAATTGGTTAAAAACCATATGTCCAATCTGATCCCTACTGGGTCCATGCAAGTGTAAATGCATGCATGTAAATGCGGATTAAGAAAAAAAATAGAACGTTATGCCCTCCAAAAATAATAATTTATAGCCTTCTTTGAAATGTTAGTCTTCACGTGCAACATGTTATGAAACCGGTGAGATTGTTTCAACACACGTAAAAGGGTGTGGCATGCTTATCTTCATGTGATACTTTGTTTTCAAATCTTGTTGTTTGCCCTTTCCTTTCTTAGTCTGTTTTGTGCTGCTATAACAAAATCCTCGAAACTGGATGATAACTTATTTTCTCATTGCTCTAGAGGCTGGGAAGTCCAAGATCAAGGCACTGACAGGTGCAGCAGGTTTGGTTGTATGGTGAGGGCTGTGTCCTTTGTCAGGAGGACAGCAATGCTGTATCCTCTCCTTGCACAGCAGAAGGCCAAAGAGCAAGGGAGCCTCACCCTGCCTGAACTCTCTTTTATAAGGCTCCTAATCCCATTCACGAGGGAGGAACCCTCATGGCCTGATCACTTCTTAAAGGCCCCACCACTTACATCACACTGGCAGCACCTGAATTTGGAGGGGGCCACAGTCAAAACAGAGCAGTTATGTGACAGTACTGAAAGCAACTGCCAACAGATTCAGTCTGTTTCGTGCGGGAAGGGGATATTCCTTTCTTAAGTCCATGGATTAGTGTTC